TAAAAGTGTAGGTTAGAAAGAGATGTTTATAGAAAGCCAGCATAGGTTGGCTCTTTGCTTAAATTTCTTTCTAACCATAGTTACAAGAATAAGGTTGGAATTTTGAAGTCAATGATTCTAAGAAGTATGATGCTAGCGGATAGCAAACATTTGACTAAACAGTTGCAACGGCTGACAAATATATTCCTGGAAAATAATTATCCTTTGGGTCTAATTGAGAAGAATATCTCTCTACTGAGGAATACATTTTCAGACGGAGACCATTTTGTGAAAGAGAGACAGACTTAGACCTTTTCCCATGTCCTAATTTTGCCGTCATGTTTTCTCTCAAAAAAGATGGGCGAATTAGTGAAGAAGTGGAACATAAAAACAGTGTTCGAAGAAACCCTTACACTTTCTTCTGTTATGCCATATTTTAGGGGGAAATATGAAAGATAATTAATCAAACCCCTCTAAATCGAGTTATCAAGGTTTTTAATTTTTAATTCTTTTGACTCGATTGAGTCTATATAAGAAGTAGGATAGAGCCGGATAGTGTTCTTGCTTTAGTGTTAACGCAAGACTTTTGCAAGAATGACACCCAGCTCTGATGATGTACATCATTTGATGGACGAAATCTAAGCACGTTTTCACCCAAAACGAAGGAGGAAGTTTCGTGGATTGCGTCAAAATGATATGAAATGAATGTCGTCTAAAAGCCAAACGGCGGCAGAACAACGAGATTCCTCCGTCCTCGTCTGGTAAGAGGTCGACCAACGAATCTCTTCTTCGCGCACTTTCCTACCAAATAAAGGTCCCCCTAACAATGTCCCAAAGAAGGTATGGGCGGTGTGTGGTAGACGAACTCACGTGGGCGACGGAGACAGCATTTCGACAGTACAGCAGCCATGGCGACAGGAGGTGAAGAATGGCGAGGCAGACGTTGGGCAACGTGGTCGGGGCGAATCGCTGCAGCATCAGCTGGTCCCACACGAAGAGGCAGGCCTTGGTGCGCAGGTTCGGCACAAAACCCTGTTTCGAGGTACAGTTGGGCGAAAAAGCACTTGCAAATCATCGAGATTGAATGCAATCTTCCAAAGTTCGGCGCGATCTTTGTGGCAGAACAAAAACGTTCGGCCAGACCGGGAGCCCGACCGTCCGTCCGTAATCGAGGTTGTCACCTGTACTTGGTGGAGAGTCTTACTTTGCTAAAAGTGGGCAAGTGTCAATGCCGCCAAGCCCCTCCGTCCGGTCTCCTCTGCCCTCGAGTAGTCATGACAGCCTCCAGCATCTGGCCGTAGACTGGGGACATTCCCAGTCGCATGTAGCAAAAGTAACTGGGTTTGGATTAATCTCTTTAGGGCATACACAGCCTCCATCATTTTCTTTGCAATCGGTTTCAGTTTTTGCGTACACATACACACACACACGCACACATTTAAGTATAAGTACCCTGATTAATATGAAAGAGAACAAACCATATGGTTCCATATCTTTCTGTTCGTATCTATATTTTTTAACTTGTAACTCGGTTGTCAAGACTACCAGTATTTTGTTTAAAGTAATGAAATGTATTCACCCTATTTCGTGTAAGGTGATGAAGGACTGGTAGTAGAATTTTCCCACAATG